GATGTGATGGACCGCCTTCTCGGAAGCTATCGACCGAGACTGAGGAGCAAGAAATGGTGGTGCAAACTTTCCAGAAATGGTTTGAACATGGCTGTCGTCGCAGGATGGCTCCTCCACTGCGAGCTTCACAAGAGTAGTGATGCCGCCATGACGCACATCGCCTTTCGGCGGGACGTCACCATGTCCTTGCTGCAGCTCAAGCAGAAACTCACTGTAAGACCTGGACCCTGGGTTCATCTGAGACATGAAAACAGAAAAACTGATGGCCACTACATCATCTCAACGACTCAGGGAAGGTGCGCGGAATGCAAGAAGAATACAACGAATCAGTGCCAGCAGTGCTAAAAGCGGCTGCACGAAAAAGGCTTTGCCGCTTACCACGGTTTGTGCTTTGCTCACTGTAGTACAGCAAATAGTATGAAAGAAGAAATTTTCATAAAGTGTTATTATAAAAATTTATACTTTTCAGAGACATCGTATGACGCTAAATATTATTCTTCAGTTATCCTGAATAAGGAAACCCGACTGAAAAGTCAATAAAAGTTGTTCCAGAGAAAATGTGTGTTTTGCATATGGGAAATGCCAATGTTCCAAAAATGGAACATGCGAAAAAACATGCTTAGTCATTGTGAATGTGGCTGTATTTTTGATGATAGGTAATTTAGAAGGCCAATGCAAATTATCAACATAAATTTTAGTTTTTTTCCTATTGCTTCATAGTTCGGCATTTAAAAGGTTAAGGTAATAGGAACCCGTCGAAAGGGCTGTTCTTGAAATGCGTAAGACTTTGCATTTAGTTGTATTAAGTTCCATTAACCATTGCTCACACCAGTTAGAAATATCATTAATGTCCGATTGCAGTGCCGTAACGTCGTTATCGTTGTTAATTTCTCGAAAAATAACACAGTCATCTGCAAACAAGTGAATATTAGAGAGAACACAGCTAGGTAGGTCATTAATGTATATCAAAACAAAAGTGGTCCACAGCTAGGTAGGTCATTAAGTGTATATCAAAAAAAAGGGGTCCCAAGACAGAGCCTGGGAACGCCGGAATGAACAAAACTGGTGAAGAGTCATAGTTATTGGCTGTGACGAACTGGAAACGATTAGAAAGGAATACTCCATCATGCAAACAACTTAGGATCTAGATTTAACTTGCTTAGTTTGTAAAGGAGTAGTTTGTGAGACACTTTGTCAAAAGCCTTGGAGAAGTCGAGGAAGATACAATCAGCGGATGAACGGCGATCTAAAATTATTGTAGCTGTGGGTTAATGAAAGCAATGTGTCTCGCACGAGAACTTCTTTCGAAAACCATGTTGCGCGGGTGAGAAGAAAGAGTTAAATTCAAGAAATTTGACCAGATGGGAAAAAAATTACATGTTCGAGAATTTTGCATGGAATGCTTGTTAGTGATATGGTCGGAAATTGTTAGGCGTATGTTTGTTACCAGACTTATGGAGTGGCACCACCTTCCCGACTTCCCAATCCGCCGGCAGGATGCTCGTGTCGAGGGTCTGCTGGAATATTTTGCACAAAATAATAGAGGAATACACAGCAGTACTTTTTAAGAACTTCGTATTAATAAGGTCAACACCGGGGCTCGATGAGGGTTTCAGTGACTGGATTATTTTACTTACACCACCTGGGTCAGTAACAATGGGGTCCATGGAGAGATAATTACAGTTCTGAAGTTCAGGTATTGAGGGGTTAGAAGAAACAACAAAGTTCTGGCAAAAAACTGCATTGAGTAGGGAAGAACATTCGCTACTGGGTATAATGGAACCATCTGGCCCAGTCAATGTAATACTATTCGTTTTAGAAGGAGTGATCACACGCCAAAATTTTTTAGGGTCGTTAATAAGCATAGAAGGAAGGGTGCACTGAAGAAAGTGTGATTTGGTAAGTTTTACTGCTGCAATGTATGCTTTGTTGGCGGTTGTGTATGCGTTCCATCGGTAATCACTCGGGGATTTTTTTGCCAGACGATAGCAGCGCTTTTTTCGATTAGACAGCCTGTTTAACTGCTTGTTGTACCAAGGCGCCTCCGGGTTGGAATTTATTGTGCGCAGAGGGATGTATTTATCAGTTAGTTCGTGAAATTTATTTTTAAATAGGTTCCAGTTTTCTTGAACGGTACGCGTATCAAAATGCAACAAGAAAATGTCCAGAAAGCAAGCTAGTTCGTTGTTAATAGTTTCAAAGTCTGCTCTTGAGTAGTCGCGAATTTGCTTAGTTGAGGTCGTAGCCTTGCTTAGTGGAACGTTTATATTAAATGAAAGGAGCCAGTGGTCGCTCAGACCGGGCAAGTATGAAATCGGGGAAGCAAAATTAGCGTGCGTAGTTAATATCAAATCTAGTATGTTCGCGGTCTCTTGCGTGGTTCTAGTCGGTTTAGAAACGAGCTGGGAAAACGAAATAATGAACAAAGATTGAGAAATTCTGTTGTTTGAGATGAAGGTGGTTTGAATGCGGGGGTTTTCGAGGACCAAGAAATATGTGGGAAGTTAAAATCACCCATAAGGAATATAGGAGCAGTGGGGTGTCGTGTAGAAACAATATTCAGCGCATCGTGTAGTTCAGACACAAACGTTGGGGGATATGAAGGTGGACGGTAACAAACGCCCATAACAAATTTCCGGTGCCCAATGTCAACGCAAGACCATACAGATTCTAAATCAGTGTGAACGTGAATTAAGTGAGATGGATAAGACTTTTTGACAACAAGTAATACGCCACCGCCTTGACGCAAAGTGCGATCGCAGCGACAAATGTTAAAACAGGACACGTCAAAGATTTCACTATCATGAATGTGTGTGTGCAACCATGTTTCAGTGAGTGCTACGATGTCTGCGCTAACGGTGTTAATGACAGAGTTAAGGGATTCCCGTTTGCTTGTTACACTGCGAGTATTTGCTAGAATTACGGAGACACATGGCATCGGTGCTCTAGCTCCCCTCGCATGTTCCTAGCTGGTGGGCCTGCCGGACAACGCAGACGCACTCGCCAAAAGCGGTGCGGCGGACGTGGCATTGGGAAGTGGCGCAATAGGTGGCGCCCGTTTTATTTCTTTTACGCTGTCAGACACGGTATCGTACATGAAGCACCGGTCATCTATTATTAGTTTGTTATAGCGCAATTGGAATTGGGGAGAGTGGGGTTGGCTTTTGCCGAATTCTACAAGTTTCTAGCCTGCCTAGTTGCGACTGAGTAATCTTCCGATACCGCAATGTCTTTAGTTTTTAAAACAGCGCGGTCGGAAAGAATCGCTTCCTTCATCTTGAAGCTGCGAAATTTAATGATGACCGGACGAGTTTTGGAGCTGGAAAAGGTGCCTATGCGGTGAACGCGATCGACATCGTTTCCAGTAATGGCTTTTCCTGTCGCACTTGATAGTGCAGCTAGCGTCTTCTCCTCCGTGTCTTGCCACGATTCCCGCGAGTCCGGGATGCCATGACCGAGCAGGTTACTTCTCCATGACCTGTCCTCTAGGTCGTCCAGGCGAGATTGCAAGACGTCCTGCTGCGACATCAAGCGTTCTGCAGCGTCGCTGACAGCCGCCAGGTCACCACTCATCTGCTCTATCACATCCGACTTTGATTCTAAGCATTCAAGACGGCCGAAAATGTCAACCAGCTTTGTTTCTATTGCCTGCTGGCCGGACTTGATTTCTCTGATATCTGTTTGAAGATCCGCTTGCCCCTTAGTTAATGCGATTGTCCGTTCGTTGATGTCTTTGAGTATCTGAAGCATTGTGTTCATTTGCTCAGAGTTCGCATCCTGAGGTTCGTCGGGAGCTGTGGATTGGTTTCGGGGTTTAGAAGAACCAGGGTTAGTCTCTGTCGCCTGACAGAAGCAGCAACAGCGCGACATCAACGCAATCGAGCAATGTTTCACAAAGCACTTGTGGGCATGGGAGCAGTATCAAAAAGCGATTGTTAGATCGCTGTGCGAAAAGTGAGAATTGATTAAGCACCTGCGGGGCGCAGAGAAGAATTTTCGGCATGGTTTCACGAACGCTGCTCCCATGCCCACTAAAGGCAAGTGTGCTGCGTGGCTTGTTTATATCCGTGCGCCACAATGCTGCCGCCGTCACTTTGGCCGTGTTCCGGGTGAACCTCGAGTTGCTTAGTCGAAGGTTGATACCGTCGCAGCCACGATTGTAGATATCCAGCACGTCATCGCCAGTTGAAGCTTGAAAGGCCTGCCCAGGATCGATGAGCGTAGGACGAAATGGCCAGACGAAAAAGACGGTCAGCAAAACCTGCGGGGCGTAGAGAAGAATTTTCGGCATGGTTTCACGAACGCTGCTCCCATGCCCAGTTTGGGCAGCGTTCGATATAACCGACAATGGGTGAAAATACCGTTCCATATAAACGTGCGAATTTCTGTACTTTTTACAAAGGAAATTCAAGGGGATAACTTGCAAGTTCGATATACCCGAAAATGCCCAGTTGGGCATTTCCATGCCCAGTTGGGGCAGCGTTCGATATAACCGACAATGGGTGAAAATACCGTTCCATATAAACGTGCGAATTTCTATACTTTTACAAAGGAAATTCAAGGGGATAACTTGCAAGTTCGATATACCCGAAAATTCTACTATATGTGGGTTCGATATAAGTGTTCGACTGTTTAACAGAAGATTCTGTGATTAGATTCGTTGGTTCTCCTAACTTCGCCACACACAATTACAGTGAACATCTTTTTGGCGTTTTCATGGCCTGCACTTGTCTTCACTTCTCAATACAACGAAGGTTGCGGCTTATTGGCATATTCCAAAATTTTAATACTGACAAAAAGTGCTACCCCAACCTTCGACATAAACAAAGAACTGAAATTGTACCACTGTGCCATAGTGTCTTTCATATGTGTGCTGGCGGGAGTGGAAAACAACCAGATTTGTAGTCGCGGTGCATAAAATCATCGTAGACTCATTTGGTGTCCACTTACCGGCAAGCTCGAATTTCTTTTCTTCAACCGCTTTCGCCACTGGTTTGCAGGACAAGCACATCGCAGATGTGCGGAAGCAGCTGGATGAACAGGTGGACGAGAAGCGCGAGAAGATCCAGAAGAAGCTTGACACTGCCCAGGAGAACCGTGCTGCCATCTACCGTGAGCTGCAGATGAAGCTTCAGGAGAAGGTCTGTAGTGGCGGGGGTAACTCTGCACCCCTCCTCTAATCTCGGGCACTCTTTGCTGTTGCATGACGGTGTTGCAAAATTGTAACAACACTTTCGCACCATCATAGTGACGGTCAAAACGGGATGCTGTGTCATGTGGAAGTACCACTCACTCTGTTGCGGATTGTCTCTTGCACTAGCAATACAAATGACGTCCGTGTATGCTCTACCGTAGTGCAAGGCTTGACCTTTTATTGTGTCTGGGAAGAAAAATTGAGCTGTGGAAGTAATTCGTGTGGCGACTTTTCTTTGGAATTTTTTTTATTCCTGCTGGACACAAAGTGGCAAAAGGCCAGCTAGGCTTGGAAAAGTGCATTCAATTTTTAAGCAGTATCTCGGTGTGGTATATCGCACTGACCCAGGTGGCACATTGACCTTTGTTCTCTGGATACCCATCTGCTGAATGTCGTGTTTTTTATCTATAAAGTACTACAGACAAAAACTTCAAGCAGGGTGAGCAAAATACACAAGTACAGTTGAAACCCGCAATAACGAAACCTCACGAATATGAAATCTCCGTGGTAACGAAATATTTCCGAATCCCCGGCGAATGTTCATAGAAGCCCATGTATTAGGTATCTCGCGGCAACGAAGTGTTTTTGGACAGCGATCCCGCAGTAACGAATTTTCTACCACAGTGCGGGCCTTATTTTACCCTCCTGCCAAAGGTTAACTGTCGAAAATATGCTCGTATGCGTGTTATGCGCACTCGAAATTTATAAACGTCTGCTTTTGCCGCGCTAGCGTGGGTACCGCCATTTTTGTTTATTTAAGGAGGACGCGGCTTTGGGATCGCGAAAAATGGCACAAAAATCGATTTTTTGAAAATCCAGTTTTCAGTTTCTAGAACCCTTTTTCTATCCGATTCCAAAATATCTACACTTAAAACCGTGCAGAAGTGCTTCGGAAAATTCATTTAACCCACCTAGGTAGCGGAATGTTTTCTGGAAATCGCGAGAAAACAGATTTTCGAAAAATTATGGCTTCGCGATGGCGGGGCCGGGAGCAGGCTTCTTGGGCTCATCGGAAAGAGCATTTTTCCGTGTTCAACTTTTCCGCCTCAGCTGGTTCCTTCCTTTAAAAACAAGTGCACAAAAAGCAAATGTTTGAAGGTCGTTTCGTGGCCTTCGATTGGCTATGGCCGCCATGTTGCCTCAGCTCGCCTCGCCATTGGCCCGATGCTCGCTCCGGGAGATCGTCCTCTGCTGCTTGTGCGTCGCGAGGACATGGCTCTCGAAAATTGCTACTTCGTGACATGTTCACGGCTCGATAATCACTTAAAATATAATTACGCTTTAGTTAGGAGCAGTGGGCGGATGCGCGATCAGGTTACTACGAGCGCAGCGCGTCATTGGAGTCGTCTTTAGCCCTCACTCTGCCGACAGCGAGACTGCGGGCAGGAACAACGCGCCAGCGCACTTGTGGCAACGTGCTTCGTCGCAAGCAAAGAAGCTCTAAGCGGCGGCACGGTCAGATTACTATGAGTGGCCGCACCGGATGGACGATAAGATTACTGCAAGCGAGCTAGCGGTCTACGAGCGCGGCGCGTCATCGGAGTTGGCTTTAGTCCTAACTCCACTGACAGCGACACTGCGGGCAGGAACGATGCGCTAGCGCATCCAAAACAACCCGCGGGTTGTTTTGGATGCGCTTGACATCTTTCGCTCCTTCTTCGGCGCACATGACGACGACGTAGCAATGGACCACTTTTTCCAGTGCGAAGGGAGAGGTTTGAAGTTGTTGCATGGCAAGGGTCGGCAAAGTAAGTTGACTGATTTCTGTCGATAAATTTTTCTTCTGCTGGCCGTATCACTGTTTTTATGTCTCATACTCGCGGCAAGGAAATGCTCGCGAAAACGAAATTTTTCGGTTTCCCCGGCGATTACGTTATTGCGGGTTTCGACTGTAACTGAAAACATAGTTGTAAAGTGTTTTTTTTACAAAATGTTGTTGGTTGTAGAAATGGTGGTTACGACTTAAAAAAAAACAACAATCGAACAACTTAGTCATTAAATACAATTCTAATGAAGTTGTAAAATAACAGTACTTGCACAAATGGTCACGGCCATTAAGGGAATGCTTCCAATCAGCTATAGCTTTTGGGAAAAAAGAGTAGCGAAAAGTGTCAGTCCTTGCGTAGATTAGCATTAGGGAATGAGTATAGTAGTGCAAAGTCTGTCTGCTTAATAAGAGGAAGACGTGCGCTGCGGTGTCTAAGGATAGCCTATGGTTCACTATGTCGGAAAGAAGCTCTAGTAAACCATCTTTTTCCGGGTTTGTAATAATGCAATACCATTTGCAGTTAGTAGTGCAGGGAGGGAAGTTGAGGTGAGGAAGTTGTGCTCGTGCCTCCTCTCACTAGCTTCCGGAGTTCCAGTGAGGCTGTTTCTTTTCTTGTTGGAGACAATGCTGCGACGGTGGTCTTTTTCTCTCGCTCTCCTGGCACCAGTACTTGTCGCCATTCATGTCCATTTCACCTAAGATTGCCGTTGCAGAATTCAAATTGCCCGTGTTGAAGCGCAGCACTGCTTCTGCAACAGCTGCTTCAACAGCGAACAGGGACGCATGGTGCTCCTTGGGGGCCAAACTCCAGATTACTGAATGTAGGCTCTCGTTGGAGTTCTGCGTTTTGCTGCGTTTTGCCGCGTTGGAGTTCTGCGTTTTGCCTCTGAAGCAGGGCTCTTTCCGAAAGCCGGGTATAAACCGGTAGTAATGCCTCTGCCACGTCTTTCGGTAGATTGTAGGCATGCCTAGGGTCGGGCTCACCCTTTGCTTTTGCGGCATTGTGCCGACACCATGAAGTTTCACCAGCTGGGCACAGACTGTGGTCCGAGCATTCATCAGTGGAGGTGACGTGGCGGTATGTGGCCATCACAGCCTTTTGCATCTCGCCCACGTCACCTTCATGCGATTTCAGAGCCCGGCCATAATATGTGCTCAGCCTGGTGATCAGCTCACCTGTGAGCCTGCCTTTCCCACCAAGGCCTCTTTTCCCATCGCACTTTTGTTTCTGCACCAGGTTTCTCAATGCGGTGCCCATCCGTTTCTGTACATGATTGATACAGTCTTCCTTCTGCACGTCAATGTAACCATACACCTTGGCGTCTTGTATGGCGCAAAATGTCCTAGAGTCTCCATCGGACAGCATAGTTGTGTAGCGCAGGCCATGGCGTTCAAGCGACCTCTGAAATAGAATTAGAGCCGCCTCCACTTCCATTTGCCCCGCTTTGCTGTTCGTATTTTTTTGGCATTTGTGGTTAGCCTTCCATTCTTGATAGCCCTCACTACTAGGCTTTGGGCCCACCTCGCAGCCTAGGCAAAAGTTGGAAAGAACGACGTAGTCCAACACGTAGCCACTAAATAATTCGATAACTGTGCCCACGCCGATGTGGGAAGAATGGCCTCGCGTCTTCCACGTGCCGTCGTAGCTAACGGCAATATTGCCCCGGTGGCCGAAGCACAAGTCATCATAAATTGTTCTAACATTTTCCGCACATTCGCTCATAGCGGACTCAGCCGCTCGCGTTGCAGCGGGTGCCAGCGTGTTCTTCAAATGCCGCTGAAACGTCTTGTGGTGCATACCGCGGTGTGAGATGCCCATTGTTGCGAAAATATCGTTCATTTTCGTTTGGCCGTTGCCGGTAGCCACCATCGCCCTCGAAGCGAGAAGTTTACTTCAAACGGATTGCATGTTTTCGTGCCGTTCGTGCGGGGCGAAGTCCATTCATTCGCGATCTCGCCGCACCTTTCACACTGCACTAGCACTTTCACAGCAAGTCCGTAGTCCCGATCCCCTCTGACGATCGTAGCCGGTCCGTGGCAGGCTTTGCAACACAAGGCACCCATTATCGCGTTTAGGATATCTAGATGCATAAGCAGATAAGGAGCAGCGTGGTCCGAGTCCTGTGCGGTTGCCTCGCTACAACTCGCGGTGAAAAAGTCAATTTTCCATGCAGTTGCTGGCGCCGATGAAAGCCGGTCGAGCGTCGCTTTCTCCCGGGCATGATTTTCTTCAACTTCGGCGTTTGTCACCGCCTTGGCGTCGATTCGTAGTCGTCCGGAGTTCGCTTCACCGTCATCGTCGTCGGAGGCAACGCGCTCGGTCGCACCATCGCTGAACGGCCGCGGAGCGTCGACACATCGTTCGTCGGAGTCAACCAAGGGCTCTGATGACTTTGTAGACTTTCTCCCACGACCTTTGCGTTTCCTGCGACCAAATGCGTGCACGGTCCGATACTTTTTTGCGTTTCCAGGCATGGCGATACGATCAGAAGCTTCAGAGTGCTCTGCCGATTTCGAGGCGTCACAGCGGTAACCCTTTCAAAATGGCGTCGGGTCGCGTATGCAGGCGCAAGCCGCGAGCTTCCAGCCAACCGGAAAGCGCCATTTCAGTCACGTGCGCCGTTTAGCCAATGGCAGTGAGCGCGGCTCTTCGTCTTTGAGGCCCCGTTTCTCGAGCCGGGGAAACGTTTAATGTTGCTTACTGAATAAAAAAAAAAACAGCTGAAAACGCGTTCTTTCAAACAAGACCAAAATGGCGCCGATCGAGCGCGTAGTTCCCGCGTATCGTAGAGCCGAAACCTGCGCTATTCGCCCTCAATTTAAAGGGCAGGACGCCCGTTTTCGGTTTTTTAAAGTTGAATAACGATAAAAGTTGATGGTATTCGGCTATGAAATTTTGTAAATAGGTGCACAATGATGTCGGGAACGCGAAAAGAAGATCCGCGAAAACTCGATTTTTTGGCTGATTTTCGGTCCCGAAGTGCCGCATCCCCCCTTAAGAGCAGTAGGCGGATGCGCGATCAGGTTGCTATGAGCGCGGCGTGTCATTGGAGTCTTCTTTCGCCCTCACTTCGCCGACAACGAGACTGCGGGCAGGAACAACGCACCAGCGCACTCGTGGCAACGTGCTTTGTCGCAAGCAACGAAGCTGTAAGCGGCGGCACGGTCAGATTACTACG